GTGATTTTACGACTTTTGAGCGTTTATTGTATGTTCAACAGTTGAATTATAGTCTCATTATGTGGTTCAATGTTATTATAAGGGTATACTATGAATCTACTTTAAGGGTTTAGTGGACATTAAAATCGTAGATCATATTTATAAGGATAGGGTAATGAAAAACACAATTTAAAAAAATCACACGTAATTATTTACTACCCTTTTTTCAGTGAACCACTTTCTTTTATTTTGACTCTAACCGATCACATTTATTCACAAAATCGACATGAACCACTTCAGTTATTCGATTTTCATTCGGTTTCCACTTGTTTAAATAATGTTCATGTCTTCTCTTTATCCATAACTAGTGTTTTTGGACGTTTTACGAAAAATTTGAACATTAAAATATACTACCATGAAAAATACGTCCTAACCTTATGATTAATTTTCATTGTACAATGGAATCTGTTTTGAGAGGTCCTTAATTTCTATACAATAATATATATTCATATAGTATTGCATTGTCATATTTTTCACAACTCTTTTRACATGATGGTTTTTCAGGGGCGATTTTCACTCAAGAAGACAAAGACAGTACCACAGAAGTAGCATTCAAATACGCTGTATACAGGATAAATAAAGATAAAGCGATCTTGCCGAACACAACGCTTGTATACGATATTGAATATGTTTCTCCACACGATAGCTTCAAAGCTTCTAAAAAAGGTATGAATGATTATAAAATATTTTAATTTAATTAGATTTTGAAAAAAAAAATTTAAAAAAAATTCTTTGATTCTATTCAATACATAGAGTTATGGCCTATAAATAACGTCAATGATGTACAATGTACATGTTAGCCACGAGTCACCAGTTATGTTACCTGTACTAACTGCAGTTGATGCGCCAGCAACTAGTCGCATATTTATCACAACCTCTTTATTCGTATTTTTTATCAATAATCTATAACACATTATACAGATTTCAACTTATTACCAATTCAATATATTCGAGTTCATTAATTCATCGAAATATTTATTATTAACTTATTTAATTAATATTAATTTATTATTATTACTACTGTTATAAGTATTTAAACCAAATGGCAAATAGTCAACAATCTTACTTACATATAATTATCACAGAATTCTGTGTTAYCATGTTCATAGTTATCATATCATAGAGAAAAATATGCGAATAACTGGTGACAAGTTGCTAATTTTACTATCTAAACGAATTGTATAAATAATAAAATAAGTGAGATAGAGACATTGCATATTATTATTAATTAAACACTTTGGTCGATTTCATTTGACAAATTGATCAAACCATCTGTATACGTATAATCAGTCATGTAATTCACCTAAGGGTGGTACTARTTTTCTGATAGGACAAACGCAATTATAACGTCTTCTTCCTCCATTATGGGCTTTCATAGATATCGCATATACCTATCAGAGTAGTACAGCAAATAAAGATGCAAATTGATAATAGTAATGATAATAGTAAAGTTGCTATAATTATATATATATATATATAATTATTTCCAATACAATTTTATGATATGATACAATTCTTGATACAATTATAACTGATATTTTTCGAATAATGCACGAGTGAATTTGATGAAACAAAAAACGTCTTTTATTTTTTTCTTCAAAAATCTATATACAAATATCTAAACCTACCTACCATCAACAATCTATCTAAATCCCATTACATTAAATTTCATTCAAAGCTCCATTTTCATTCTAATCCTCTAGCTGATTAAAAAAAAAAAAAAAAAAAACTATGCTATTCCTATATCATCCCATAATATCAAAGAGGCAATTGCCCAGAGACTTGTTCAAACCGTAAAATAATAATATATTAACTTGTCAGGTAGTGCCGCTGAGAGCATTTCTATGAACATTAATTGTTATTCGTCATTGTCACCTTAGTTAATAGATATATTACTAACTGATTGTACCTATGTATTTTAAAGATAGTAAATAATTTGTTTCTAAACTATAAAAATTAAAATCAAAAGATTCTATCTACCTATAAACGAGTTCAAAGTCATCACGACAACTATGATACACATTCGAGACAATTTATTACCAGAACACTGAAGATCGCCGTGCAGTATACGTCTTAATATTATTTTTTTATCAGTCGCCAACACGCACCATACACGATAATATGAATGGTCGCAGTGGTCGGAGACGAGTATATTCTGGACAGTGAGCTGAAATATGTGAGCGTGTGTGCGTGTGTAGTTATAGGTCACGAATAAAGCTGTATGAATGTGAAACGATATAATGGTAGGAGGCGAGTAAGTGGAACTTCACATAAATCATTCGAATCTCCCGAAATACCCGCACGTTATTACAGTTAATGTATATAGTGCGTTTTTTTATATACATACATATACATATATATATATATATATATATTAAACAAGTTTACATTTATTTATACAAAATTCTGAATAGTTGTGGTCTTATACAAAAGATTTCCTGCGGACGTGGCGTGGATTCCGGATACGAGATTTACTCCACCGTTCAAGCCAGTTGTTTAATGTAAATATTCCGCCGCCAACGACAATAAATAGCCCCGAGAATTTAGTGACCATTCGCTTACTTACCTTTACAATCCTATAAGGTCCATAATTCTAGTTTGATTAACCATCATTTACCGCATCCTGTCCCGCCAAATCTAATAATAAACTTCGTCTAACAGATTTAGCAAGACGATTTTGAATAATATTATTGCCACATGACGCATCGTTGAAGTGATTGGTTGACGTCCGTTTTACGATAAACTTATATTYTAACCCAGGTATWATCGTGGGTTTAACGGGAAAACCAAATCTGACATGAAAAAAAGGCATTATGTGTGTATAATGTAAAATCACTTTCTCACATTATAATAATATTAAGTTTCACAAACGTTAAAATGTCCGAAAACAGTATTAAATAGATTACAAAGGACACATACCCTTCTAAATACAATTATCAATATTAATATGAAATACAATGCAATGATGTCTAGTCCTCTAAAATTGATTTCAATGAACTTATATTGAAATCGAATAATTGAAAATATTTTGCGAACGCGACTTTTTATCAGATATTATGTAATGTGTTACGTACTCATACGTATATGATTTATTTAAACTTGTAAAATATTATTATTATTACAAAATACTTATAATCTACCTACCCTGACTCATATTGTATATTTAATGTGTCTTATTGTAATTTATCTAGATATATTGGGTTACATGACCGTTATGAAAAATATACAATATCATGACGTAGAATATTATTTAAGATTTTCGTTACCACATATACAATCTAATRATAACAACAACCATCATAAGAAATGAGCAATAATAATATCCATATGTGTACAATTCATAGCGAGTACATATTACACAAACCTTTAAATTTCGTAGAATCTGAACATCTTATTGTAATACGGTTATTCACTTATTAATCTTATTTAATAAAACTTCATTTGTTACAATACACGTAATTTCCATTTAACGTAATGTAATTTGATTTCTAAAAAAAATTAAATRAACTCATGCCCACTCAAATGTTGTCGTCAAAAGCCATATTTTACGGTACACGATCGTTGTAAATATTCATATGTCTGTTAATGAATTAATAACAAAAATGGCTCTAAGTTCTACTTTTGTGTTAAAATAAATTCTTTATTAATGTTTTTATGAAATGTTCGTAGTTGTAGTTTGATCAATAGAGTTAGTTTATTTCATAATAATAGAATGCTGTTGAAATACTCAGATTGAGTATGAAAACATAATTCCTTCGATTCAGCTCGGGTTCAACAAGATATTAAGACGGCAAATATTAAAAATAATAAATATATATGATTCTAAAATTAATTAAGTTGTAATGCTAAGTTTTTATTTGATATAACACACAAGTTCTAGGATAAAACAAATACAAAATATTATATGTATGTATTTTACTATACATTCTATAATATAAAAAACAAAAAATACATTTCCTCACTTTTTATGACTAACTATTGGATGGGTTTATGTCGTATCGTAAAATATGCATACACGATATTATATTATACGAGCATGTACAATTTTATTTATACAATCAAATATTATTCAAATACGAATATCAGATATTCTATACACAAATGTATTATCGTACGAATCAAAACTCAATATATTACTAGTAAAAATAATACTATATAAAACTTTTTTTTATCTTTATTTATTGCGTTTTAGTTAGTTGATTTTTATATGATAACGTTTTGTATGGATTCTAAATATTTTTAGAAATATCTGCAACCGCAAGTTTTTATAAAAACTCTCTGTAACCAAAGCGGATCGTGAGTAGTTCATTGACTACTTATTATAATCCAATTTTGTAAATTGTTAAAATATTGTTTATCTACGAATATATAAGATGTTTAGTATATAATGTATTTTAACTATTTTTTAAAGCATACGAAGCTGTAGACTTATATGACACTTCTTTGTAACCAAAGTGGTTTGTGAGTACTTTTCCGACTGATATTATAATTAATTTTGTAAATACATCATTTTTTCTTCATTAATTTAGATTTTATAAAATATTATATTATTAGAAATTTAACATTAAATTTAATAGAAGTATATCACGCTAAAATAAATAGATAAAAATAGTTGATTCGTCGATTAAAAGGTAATATATAATACARGTGAACAAAAATATTTACCATTATGTATTGATTGACTTACGAACTAAAGATCAAATATGGTAAGAAATCAAACGACTAAATTACATAAAACACAAACTCTCATTAAATCTGTACATTATAAACCCCRTGWACATGATACGGCAAAAGCTCTATTTAATGATATGCGAACAATTTTGCTTAATCCTATTTCCATAATGTTGAATAGAATCACGCCTATCTTTGGCCAAAATAGCGTGATTACCATTAGAATAACGTAACAACACAATAATAGTTTAACAATTTCAAAATACATGTGTAAATATTAAAAAACAAGATTAAAATTCACTTGGGCTTATTACATAAAAACAAATATAGATTATAATAACAYATCGTCATCATAAATACTATAAAATTACGTAATGCAATTTATTAAAAACATTTGTTATTAAATTTCTACAAAGTGCCAAAATGTATTTTAAACACGTTCTCAAATGAAAATTATGTTATTCCTTTAAATTATGATGATTCAATAATTATTATGTTTTGTAGTTGAATTAAATCAATAAAATCAATATTATAGTTAAATCATTTTTATGAGCTCCAASATTTATTAAGTAAATATAAATGCTAAAATAGCTAGTACAAAACTAAACTATCTACATAGTAAAATGTTTAGATTATAACATAACTTTATTGCAGTTACTCACTCGATAATATTTCGGAATATTGGTATTATTTTGGTAATTATTGGCCGGCGAAAAGTATAGGCAATTTCGGTACATTAAAGTGTAGGAAGTTTTCGAACAGAGTAAAGTCCCTTTATCGGTAAACATATTTAATATTTTCTATATGAGATAAACAAAATTGTCACTGATTGTTTAACAATCAGAACACGTGTTATTGTTGTGTAAATATGAATAAGTAGGTTATTATCACCATATTTACGAACTGGCTATATATAATGTTAAATAACGAATTGTCTATCAATGTGAATTATATTTTATTGTGTACTACTATCAAAAATGATAAAGTTCCATAAA